GTCTACTCCTTTAATGGCTCTGGGGCTGGGGGAGAGGAGAGTAAGTTTTCCTGGTTGTGCCCAGAGTGGCCACCAGGGCTCCTTGGGAAGGGCTGGAGGCCCCCCATTTCAAATTAAGTGTCTAAACAGCACTTAATTCGAAATAGCTATTTCGAATTTGGCGTTACTCCTCGTAGAATGAGGTTTACTAAATTCGAATTAAGTGCTCCGCTATTTCGAATTAATTTCAAAATAATGGTTTGCATGTATAGATACTATTAAAGTTAATTTGAAATAACGGCTGTTATTTTGAATTAACTTTGTAGTGTAGACATACCCTTAGTGCTTTGGATGGAAGACCAAATTGAAAAACGCACACCGTTAAGCCTCATGACAATACAATCTAAGGCTCGTAGTCTTTTCAAAGACTTAAAGAAAAAGGAGAGGTATGACTGTGACCAAACTTTCACTGCCAGTCACGGTTGGTTCACATTACTGTATTTAAATTACTGCATTGTGGTTTGTAGTTCATGCTGATGTTTGTTAAATACAGTTTGCTGTCATTGCAGTAGTGTTGATTTTTTCACGTGTTTCTATTTTTCATTGTTGATTGCTGTTTTGTTGGGAGTGCTTCATATAAGGGTATTTCCGACTTACGAACAAATTGAGTTACGACCAGCTGTTCAGAACATAATCCATTCGTAAGTCGGGGACCGGCTGTACTAATATTATATATTAGAAGACTTGCCTGACATTGCCCAGGAGTGACCCAGGGCTGGGGAGCGGGGCATACAGACCTCCCGTTGGTGTTCCCCAGGACAGAAGAAGTGTCTGCTCAGGACAGCTGGCCCTGGGCACACTGAGTGGTCTGGTGGTGGGTCCAGGGCTGTGCTGCCCAGCCCCGGCGCTGCTCCTGAGTCCTGAAGCCAAAGGGAGGGGTTTGGGGAACCACTTATCTGGGCCGGTGGCAGACAACATGGCAAGTCCTATCCCCCAGCTGGCCACTCCCATAGTGCTGAAGCTGTCCCCATTAGTCACTCTGCAGCATATCTGTCCCCTGCACTCACTGCCCCCAGTAGTGACTGAGCATTGCTTTCCTCCTCTTTCTGCCCCCTCCCTTTCCATGTTATGGAAAACAATAAAATTGCAGGCACCATCCTGTTTTCTTGGCAGAACCAAACCCTGACCTGGCTTTAAGAGAAGTTTTTAAACAGACTCACAGACAGATGCACAAATCGTGTGTGTGTGTGTGTGTGTGTGTGTGTGTGTGTGTGTGTGTGTGTGTGTGTGTGTGTGTGTGTGTGTGTGTGTGTGTGTGTGTGTGTGTGTGTGTGTGTG